CATGTGTATGCATTATGAACATGTATGTGTGTTCATGCTGAGAGAAAGAAATCCTTAATTCCTTTCTTTGTGTTCTGTAATTAATATCATAGGGAAATTTAAAAATTATGTAAAGTTACTTTTGTTATACAATAGTCACTAAACATCTATCAAATGATATGAACAATGTCAAGGTAATGAATTATCCTTCATAAAAACTGGCAAATTTTTCCTTTTTTCTAAAGTCTTTGACAGTTTCTGCTTCACATTCATGGCAACTCTTACCATTGACTTTTAGTTTATCTGACAAGATTATATAAGCCTGCTGTCTCCACATAAATTTGCTAGGAATCATAGTATAAAATATTGTTAGAAAAAAGTTTCTACCATGCAGTCCTTAAAAAGTTGCTTAGAAGTAAAGAGTATATACATATACACGTGTGTGTATATATATGTATATATATACACACACGTGTATACATATACACGTGTATATATATACACACACGTGTATATATAAAATATTTATATATAAATTAATCAATTGTTTTAGGCCATTTCAAATGCTAGAGTCAGGGTGTCATCTTTTAGAATTGAAAGGTATCATAGTGTCTCAGATCTATACTTTAAAAGTTAGATAACATCATGAGATGATTTTCTGATCTGTTAAAATTAGGTACTTTAATTCTACTTCCTTTTTTTAAAATGCTGTTTGTATGCAGACAATAACTTTCCAATTTGATATTAGTCCATTAAATGAAGCTAGTAATGGTACTGATTTCAGTGGTAAACAAAAACTGACCAGCACTAAAACTGGTATATATTTGTAAAATAAACAGCATTAAACTCAGCGCCCTTGAGGCAGCGGTAAGGCACTCGGCTCACAGTGGTGGTGATGGTTTAGTTGCCAAGTCATGTCCAACCCTTGTGACCCCATTGGCTCTGGTCCTCCAGACTCCTCTGTGCATGGGATTTCCCAGCCAAGAATACTGGAGAAGGTAGCCATTTCCTTCTTCAGGAATCTTCCTGACCCAGGGATCAAGCCCATGTCTCCAGAATTACAGGTGGATTCTTTACTGCTGGGTTTACATAAAATTCAGAAATGCAACTCCTACTGTTGGCCAGTTTCTCTGACCTTTTGTTTCTACGTTCAGACTCTCTAGAGAGCAAACCTACTGTTCAGTTTTATATGTAATCTCTATAGTAATGATAAAATCTGTCTGAGCACCGACCTTTGAAATACATACTGATGTTCATATCAAATTACTTGTAAAACCTCTGTCTTTTATTCTTCCAGGGAATACATTTCCTTCAGTAACTCAACTGGATATCTTACAGTTTGCATTTTTTACTCCTCTCTCTCCCTATTTAATCCTTTTATCCCAGTGCATCCCATCACCCATCAGTTCTGTGTATTCTACCACACTAGACCAGAGTGCCTTATGTTAATACAGACTGAGCAGTAATCTTTCTAAAAGGGAGTCTTAAATGGCATGAAAAAGAGCCACAAAAACAAGCCATGTGTAGGCTAAATAATATGCTTCTTAACGACTAATGGATCTCAGGAAATATAAAGTCACCTGAAGACAAATGAAAATGAAAACATGACAATTCAAAACTTAAAGGATGCAGCAAAGCAGTTCTAACAGAAATGTATGGCTATACAGGTTTACATCAGGAAACAAACAAACAAAAAAATCTGTTAAGCAACCTAACCAGACACCTAAAGGAATTAGAAAGAGAGGAAAAAACAAAACCCAAAGATAGCAGAAGGAAAGATATCATAAAGATAAGAGCAGAAATAAATGAAATAGATGCTAAAAAAATCCCAATGAAACTAAAAACTAGCTCTTGAAAACCATAATTAAAAATGATAAGCCTTTAGCTAGACTCATCAGAAAAAAAGAGAAATGACCCAAATTAATAAAATCAGAAATGAAAAAGAAGTTACAACCAACACCACAGAAATACCCAAAATCATGAGAGACTACTATGAAAAACTATATACCAATAAAATGGATAATCTAGACTAAAAAATGGAAAAATTCTTAGAAAGATACATTCTCCCAAGACTGAGCCAGGAAGAAATAGGAAATATGAACAGACCAATTACCAATAATGAAATTAAATCAGTAATTAAAAACTCGCAACAAAATTTGAGGATCAGATGCCTTTACAGGTGAACTCTACTAAACATTTAGAAAATAATTGAAACCTATCCTTCTCATACTATTCCAAAAAATTGCAGAGGAAGGAATACTTCCAAACTCATTCTATGAGGCCAGCATCACCCTAATCCCAGAACTAGACAAATATATTATGGAAAAAGGAAATTGAAGGCTGGTATCTCTGATGAACACAAATAATAAATGTTGGTGAGGATGTAGAGAAAAGGGAACCCTCATACATTGTTGGTGAGAATGTAAATTGATTCAGCAAGGGTGGAGGTGTCCACAAAATCTAAATAAAGAACTCTATATGACCCAGCATTTCCATCCCTGGATATGCATTCAAGAAAAACAAAAACACTAATTTGAAAAGATGCATGCTCCCCTATGGTCATAGTTGCATTATTTACAGTTGCCAAAGTGTGGAAGCATCCTACATGTCCACCAATAGATGAATGGATAAAGAAGATTTGGTATATATACACAGTGGAATATTACTCAGACATAGAGAAAGAATGAAATTTTGCCAATTGAAGCAACATGGATGAATGTGGATGGCATTATGCTAAGTGAAAATAATCAGACAGAGAAAAACAAATACTGTACAGTATTAGGAAAAGTAAAAGCTTTTGTCACAAGTCATGTCTGACTCTTTGCAACTCTATGGACTGTCGCCCACAAGGCTCCTCTGTCCATAGAATTTTCCAGGCAAGAATACTAGAGTGGGTTGCCATTCCCTTCTCCAGGGTGTCTTCCCAGCCCAGGGATCAAACCCCGGTCTCCTGCATTGCAGCCAAATTCTTTACCATCTGACCACCATGGAAGCTCATGATAGTGCTTATAGTGGAATCTAAAAAAATACAGCAAACTAATGAGTAAAACAGAAAAGAAACAGATTCGTGGATATAGAGAACAGAGTGGTTACCAGTGAGGAGAGAAGTTGGGGCAACATAAAAATAGGAGAAAATGTTTATTATGGAATTATATGAGGTCATGTATGTGAAACTTTTGAACATTTTAAAGTACTGTAGAATTTAAAGAATATTCCTTTCAATAAAAATGGTATATATGTGTACAAAAAAGCATATGAACATAATCTTTGAACATAATTAAAAGCTGCTAGTTCTACTTACCTGCATACCTATAATAGTTTTTTTAATCAGAAATTGGATGTTTAGATTTAAGATGACAGTGCATTAGTATAGAATATAAATCATACTATGACCATTTCTCTATAACAAAGAGTTTCAGTGGTTTATTATGTTGGAGACCAAAAATTGCCAGTTAAAGTGAAATACAAAAGAGTCACCCTAAGCAAAATGGGCATAAAAATGGAATGAATCAAAATGACAAGAAATATTCTTGATAGTACTTGTACCTTTTTAACTGTTTTCTCAATAAGCATGTCTCCAACTGGCATTAGAATCCCTCCGAACAGAGCCACAACTGCACCAATGACAGCACCAGCGATGAGCCCACAGTTTCGATTGCAGCCCATTTTTCTTATAGGGGAATTCTAAGTAGAATGAGTAGATTCTGTTGTAACAAAGAATATATTATTTTAATATTTGAAAACATGTACATCTGAGATGTTTCGGTTGCAACAGCGTTTTTCAAAATGGGGTTGACCTAACATTGATAAATGGAATGTGTTTTGTAGCTTATAAACAAAATTTCCCTACTTCAAAATGCCCTGACAAAGGAAAATAAAAATGCCAACAGAATGAATGCTACAGACAAAAAAAACAAAAATTTTTTTTTTCAATCTTGTAAGGATAATAAAAATTATAATGTGTTATGATCTCAGGTTTTCCCTTCCTAGCTTTGTTGTGGTAGAAATACCACTATGATGATTTTATTACTATTTCTGTCCACTTGAAGAACCATGTAGTTTTTTTAAAGAATTAATTGCATAGGTAAGGAAATAAGAAAAATTAGACTCTCCCAAAAATGTAGAAAGACAAAATTATAAGCAATTTTTCATGGCAATTTATTTATTTTTTATCCATTATGATTTCCCTCGCCTGTGGCTAATACCTAAGGTTCTTCCACTGTATATTAGGATGAACAAACAGATTCACATTAAGGTCCTGATGAAATGTATATCATCATTAGTGTCACATGATTTTTCCAATGTAAACAAACACCACACAAGGTTAAACAAATGATTCATTTTTCCTGTGGAATTTTATGTGTTCCTAGGCAAGTAGAGTGGGGTTTTTTATTAATTTCTTGGCAATGGAGTGTTACCTTTTATGGCTTTGGCCAGGGTGGTCATAATGCAATGAAACAAGTTATGTAAACCTGATAATAATGACTAGATAATTCTCAGGTAGAATCCCCTTTGCTAAGTATAATTGTACATCCCCTCACAGTTTTCATGGAACCATAAAATTAGTCAATATTAATGTCCTTTGCGACTCTGACAGATGGAATATGAATTGTTTTAAACATTACTGAACTACTGTTTCTAAAACGGTATATATGTGAATATTTGCCTGTTTTGGGGCTATCTATATCTGTCCTAGTCGAGAATATACAAGACCTATCCCTGAATCATTTCCCTTTATTCAAGCAGCCCCATGGACTACAGGGAAGGGTCCCAAGAACGTCCACTGGGTGATCCAGGGAGCACCGGGGTCTTCAGTGTCTTCCTCTCAAAACCTGAAAACTCATTATTATGACTTTCAAGGACCCTGAGCCCAGAGATAGCAAGTCATGGGCAGACTGGGTGCTGCCTAGGTTCTGTCTGCTTTGACCTAAAATTGAAGTGAAATAGTTCACACAGCCCACTGCTGATGAGTCAAGTGCAAGAAAACAGTCAGCAATTTATTCTGTTGAGTTTCATGGTTAGACAGTTACTAGTCTAACACTGGTCTCGATCATATAAACAAAGAAAGAAGTTTTGCTGTAACATTCCTGCATGCATGTACTGAAAGGTGAGATTGAATTTATCTACTTTTTCAAATTTTGAGCTCCCTCACTCACTTTTGTTACCTTGATATAAATTTACATTTTTTTTTAAGAGTAGACAAGATATTTCGCATGAGTTTTGTCCTGCTCTGTCAGCAGCTTTGCTCTCTATGGTTTCACTTACCCACAGTCAAACAAGGTCAACTGAGTGTAATGAAACCACAGAATAACGGGGAGTTCTACTTACGGCTTGGTGCTATCTGTGATTTCAGCCACACGGTGAAGGTTTTAGAAGGTATCTGCCCACACCTGTGGAGAAAAGAGGGACTGCGGTACTTGTGTTCATTTATTATGCTTCAGTATCTTGTCACCATGAGGGAATGTTGCCATTCTAATTGTACTTTAACCTGATACTTCATACAACAAAATTCCAAATAGAGTTGACCCTTGAACAACACAGAAAGGTTACAGACATGGACCCTGTACACAGTGGAAAATCTCTGTCTAACAAACACTGTAGCCCTTCTTATCTGTGGCTCTGCATCCATGGATCCAGCCAGCTACATATTGTGGATCAGGTAGTACTGTGATATTTACTGGAAAAATTCTGTGTAAAAGTACACCCACAAAGTTTAAACCTGCTATGTTCAAGGGTTACCTGTAGTTTTATTCACCTGCAGCAAAAGAGGGACAAACACATTATGCAAGACATATACCGGGTACATAAGAGAAAAGTTCAGGCTACTTAGCACGTTCTACTCGGCTGCTTTCCACTAATGTTTATGTTCAAAAAGCAGTGTTGTTTCTATCCACTCTTCTCTCAGATGCAGCTATGTAGAGCATACAATATTTCTGCCTTACATGATTGGTTGTCTTAATAATGTAGCTTCTTACATATTGAAATTTGTTTTACCTGCTAACTTTAAGTTTTGTTCATCATTGTTATTTCTTTCTCATAAGAAACAGTAAGATATAGACACCTGTAGCAATTTATTGCTTGCTTAAAGTGCTTAAATTTAGGAAAAGAAGAATAATCACAGGTTTAGGAAAGAAAACTAATTATTGGGACTTAGGTCAGGAAGGAAATGGCAACACACTCCAGTATTCTCCCTTGGAGAATCCATGGACAGCGGAGCCTGGCGGGTTACAGCCCATGGGGTCGCAGAAGTCGGACATGACTTAGCGACTGAACCACCACCACCAGGTCAAGAAGAGAAAATAAAAAGGCAGATTTGATTTATAAGGTATCACTATCTTATACCTTTCTTGAGTCTGTAGGGAGGTTAGCTCTACCATTCCAGAGATTATGCATTTTATTCCTTTTGTAGAATTCACGAGTATATCTACATGTGGACTATCTTTGAAAGAACTAAGAGTTTCTCTGGTTTTTCTTTTCTATCAAATCAGTGGAGTGTTTCTGGAATGAACTTAGGAGCATTATGCCTTTCCTCTATGTTAGAAATCTGGTGGCAGAAACTGAGACTGAGCTATAAGAAGCTTCTCCAATGAATAGGTCAGAATATTAGAGAAAGTTGCCTGAAAATCTGTAATAACTCAGATATGTGGATAGTGCTTTGTTCCCTGGGAAATGCCAAGGAAAACCTTGAAGTGAGTGTTAGTCGCTCAGTCATGTCCAACTCTTTGTGACCCAATGGTCTGTTCATGGGCTTCTCCAGGCAAGGATACTGGAAGATCCCCTTTTCCAGGGATCTTTCCAACCCAGAGATCAAACCCGGGTCTCCTGCATTGCAGGCAGATTCTTTACCATCTGAGTTACCAGGGAAGCCCAAGAAAAGTCTTGGCCAGAGGAAAAATTTCCTGAGTTGTGAACTACAATACTTTAAAACAATTTCGGGTTACAAAAGTCATACTTGTGCCATCAATGAATGCCAGAACCTAGATGACCCAGTTTTAGAGTTTTGGTTATGATTACTGCAACAGCAAGTGGAATATGAATGATGAAAGTTGCTTTTCACACTTACATGATTTCTAGGTGTGTTTACAAAGCTATGATTCCCTAGCCATGAATAAGATGTAGATAGATTCACATCCAGCTAGTTAAATCACTCATTTAAATCTTGTGTTTCATCATGTGGAAACACAAAGTCTTTAGACTAATACTTATTTTACACACAATCCCAGTATACAAAGATAATTAAAAGAAAAGCTATTCTGGTCAAAGTATGGACTCTGAGTCATCCCCAAAGAACCGAAGGGCTCTGTGGAAAATGTTTAAATATTTAGGTTAGGGGATCTCCAACACCTTTTCTCACTGAAATTACCAAAAACCTTCCAATTTACTTGTGCATTTCCATCCTATCAGAATATATGGAGCTAAAATATATAATAGAAAAAAAAACATAGACATAAAATAATACACTTCACTAAATGATACCTCTCACATATTAGAACTTACAACTGTTTTGGTGACAGTCTTTAAAAATTAAAACAATAAATACATTGGACTTCATGTAGTATACTAAAGATTCTTCTAGAAACAATCTTATCTTTTAGAGTACTTTTGGAATACTTGATTACTAGGACTGCTATAAGCTTGAAATGATTCACTTAGATTCATATTGGTTTAAACAGAACTGTCTGAAGCCATTTTTGATGTATCCAAGATGAAAATACTAGTATCTTTTTTTTTTTTACCTCAAGTTTTACTGTAAGTTGTAAGATACTGTACAGTCTGCAGGAATTATACTGATTCTGGGTTTTGAAATCAAGTAATTTAGGTCAATTCTGAGTTTTAATATTATATAGTTTCTCTGTGGCTCAGTTTTCTCTAACTGGATATGATATAGATCATGTAAGCTTTCAAATGTCAGTTTAGCTCAGTTGTGTCCGACTCTTTGTGACCCCATGGATTGCAGCATGCCAGGCTTCCCTGTCCATCACCAACTCCTGGAGCTTACTCAAACTCATGTCCATTGAGCCATTGATACCATCCAAACATCTTAGCCTCTGCCATCCCCTTTTCCTCCCACCTTCACTCTTTCCCAGCATCAGGGTCTTTTCAAATTTCAAATGTCAAATCAGATTAAATGAGATAAAAATTCCTATCACACCATGTTATTTTTATTTCAAATGTTATTATGATGTATTATTTTAAACAATCATAACAGTAAAATATTATTGCATATTGACCAAGTATTATTTTTTTAAATCTAATAAACATAGTTTACACAAGTAGGAATGATTATTTGCAAAACACTTGAGACTACCATAAAATCTGATGAGATGATTTGTCCTTTATATATACAGAAACTAAGACTATCATGCAAATAAAATTGCAGCTTCTAGTTTAGAACAGTGCTCTTTTAAACTTTCAGGTATGACTTGGGCCAGTGAACCAAAAAAAAGAAAAACACCTTGTGATTAAATCAGAAAATAGAGAACCAATTCCTTCAGGACCAAAGAATCCACGATTCAAATATATTTGAATAAACTTCAAGGTAAATAACAAATTTTTCAGTACACTCTGTCCTAGTTACCTCTAACTATACCTCTCTAGTTATAATTTTGACATCCTCCCAGGTTAATCTTGGAGAAGGCAATGGCATCCCACTCCAGTACTCTTGCCTGGAAAATCCCATGGACGGAGGAGCCTGGTGGGCTGTAGTCCATGGGGTCGCTAAGATTCGGACACGACTGGGCAACTTCACTTTCACTTTTCACTTTAATGCATTGGAGAAGGACATGGCAACCCACTCCAGTGTTCTTGCCTGGAGAATCCCAGGGACGGGGAAGCCTGGTGGGCTGCCGTCTATGGGGTTGCACAGAGTTGGACACGACTGAAGTGACTTAGCAGCAGCAGCAGCAGCAGGTTTATCTGCTCTCTGGTGATTATGTATTGGATTTATCTTTCTGGTCTTATAATGATTCTGGTAAATGAAAAAAAAGTCTATGTATTTTTCTTCTCAAAATCCAGTTGACCACTGGACCTTCCACATGACAAAATTTTTGCAATTTTTTGAACTGATATTAAAAGCAGTGTTTCTTTTACTATTTTAATACCACATAGTGAAGAAAAGACTGAAAAGTACTTGCAAAGTAGTTGCAAAAGTACTTGCAAAAGTACTTGCAAATACCTTTCAATATATAACTTGATAATTCCAGAAACTGAGATACAGAAAATGTATGCCATTACAGTTATGTATGAATTCCATTACTAATTAAATTATAACTTTAAATTTCTTCAAAATGATTTATTCTTATTTAAATTTGGTATCATCACTCAGGAAAATAATGCACTGATATTTGTCATAAGCTTCCTAAATAGCTAAAATCATTCATTCTGATTTGTTTTTATTATGTTACCAAGTTTTATATAATTTATACAAAATTATTAAGTTTAGAATCATTATTTGAAATTAATATAATTTACCATTCCCAGTAGCAATTATAATAGCTTTGTTCACTTAAAAATAACATGTTCAAAAACACATTGCATTTCGCCGTATAGACAAATGTCAAATTCACCAAAAATTGGATAATTCAGATAGAAAGTTAAACTAATAACTCTAATAAGTAGTTAATAATTGCATAGAAGAAAGCATGTTGCTATAAGGGTAACAAATCACTTGTAAGAAATAATTCTATATTTATTTTCATTAATGCTGATTTTCATTCATAATTTAAATGAAAAATCATGTATAAATAGCTTAAGTAGACAATGAAAGTTCTGCAGTTAATCACATTGGATAGTACATTATTTTAAATATTCACAAATATGTACAGATAAACATAAGATTTTAAACAAGAAGCAAAATGCCATAGACTAGTGGGCAAAGTTTTAATATTTTTTTTACAAATAAAAGTTAAGAAGATTGATAAGTTATAAAACAACACAAACCTAATTTTTTTAAAAAAGCTTGATGACCTCAAGAAAATTCCTTCTTGCTATTGTTGTTCTGTAACATCTTAAGAGTTTTTATATAGTAGTGTCATCTCCTACCATTTGGAAGATAGAAATCTTTTATTAAAAAATGAAAAAAAACATTGACTCACCTTTAAAAAAGGTTAAAAAGGATTTTTCAGTCAAATGCTCCAACATTTGAACAGTTAATTCTTAGTAGGATCAAATGATATTCCCTAGAAAACCTCACACTGCAATCCTGATTTCAGTTTACGATTACATAAAGTTTGAAAGTTTAAATATGCTTTAAGGAAAAAAAAGAGAGAAATAGACAATGCCACATCTCAGTGAGTGTTTCGTTGCAAGAGAAATTTAAAAGAAGAGAAAGAAACCCACATTCATCTTAATACTGATGTGGATCCTTAGAGTCTATTTTTTGTATTCTGGTGAAGATCCATTGCCCATAGAGATCCTCTGAAGCTCTTTGTGTGCTTGTGTGTGTGTGTGTGTGTGTGTGTGTGTGTGCGCGCGCGCGCACACGCGCACTGTTTTCCATCCAAGCATATCAGCTACCAGAGAAACAAAAGGAACTAACTTGCTGAGTGGCCTTTAATACACTCAGTTTTACTACACGATCTTTATTTCAGATGATAAAACTAAGACCTGGGGATGGATAGGAAGTGCAGATCAGAGAATTATCAGTCTGACTTTCCTGCACGATATAACTTGAAAAACTCATTTCATGAAGTTTAAATAAAGTACACTTTCCCATACAGCATTAATCTAAAGGGTGTTGAGGCTAATAACTGCAATACAAAACTGGAGACTATCAGTCGACAAGGATGACAGACAAACTTTAAAAAAGGAAATAGCCTATTGTTCTAACTGGAAGCTCTTCACTATCATTTTCTGTCGTTTTACAGAAGTTTCATGACCGCCGAAAAGTTCTTCTATGCAAACTAAAAATCATTAAATTTATCTTCAATCTCTTCAGATAAAAAGCAACCATCACATAACACTTAAATAATTCTACTATTTAGGATGAACTTTTAATATAAAAAAAGTGTATACATAAGTTACTTTATAATAGTCATTATTTTAAAATCTAACCAAATAAAAGGCCTTGCACTTTGAGAGAAAGACCCTCCCAGGTGGCACTAGTGGTAAAGAACCTGCCTGCAAGTACAGGAACCGTAAGAGATGAGGGTTCGATCCCCTAGAGGAGGAAATGGCAACCCATTCCAGTATTCTTGCCTGGAGAATCCTATGGATGTAGGAGCCTAGCAAGCTACAGTCCTTGGGATTGCAAAGAGTCGGACATGACTGAAGCGACTTAGCTTGCCCACAAACTTATATCCATATGTATATGGACTAGTGCATACAGTGAATCATAACTTCTGCTATTTGCCTCTTTTAATATTAGGTACCTTGGAGATATTCTCATATTATGAATAGTAGTAACTGTTTTTTTTCAATTATTGAAAAATAGTCCATAATAAAAGTGTATTGTGTTTTAAATAACCCATATCATATTTAATGGAACTTTTTGAGTTTTCCTGTTTACTGATGTTACAAAAACAATGCTAAGAATTCATATGTGTGGTTTTATTTATGTACTTGGGCCTAGTAAACAGCAAAAGTGAAATTTCTGGATCAATAATACATACTTTCTTTTGGTAGAAAGAGTATTAGCAAATTTCTTTTTATACATGTACCCAGCAGTGTTTGCAAATGCCTGTCTCAATATATCACACACACTGGTTCATACTGAACTTTATTTTTAACAAGTGCTTATTTTATTGGTAAATAATTTAGTGAAGTTTAACCTATTAATTATATTGGCGTTTGTATTTTAAAGTAATTCTGCTAATATACTTGCTTATCTTTTTTTTTTTCCTTGGGGTTTGTTTGTCCTTATTAATTAATAATGAAATAGCTATGCTTTTAACATTTGACCCTTTAAAAAAGATTTTTTTATTTTAAACTTTTTTAAGATTACTTAAAATTTCAATTTTTATAAAATTTAATAAATAAACTTTCTTTTATAAACTTTAATAAATAAACTTTCTTCTAGCTTTTGTATGGTTTCAGAAAATCCTTTAGGACAGTATTTCTCAATCAGCTGAATCATGGACTTTATCCCTTGTGAAGTGAAAGAGGAAGAGTAAAGTACATTGTGTAATTGTAAATATTACAACATATTTAGGAAGCAGATGACAGATGCCTAATAAAGAGCTCTAGATGTTGGATCACAGAGTCCAATTTCTGACCACAGCACTATTAATAATAATAGGTTTTGTGAACTGAGCCTCATATAGTCATCATATTCCTGATTTTCTTTCTTGTTAAAGAAACTAACTCTAGAGCCTACATACAGTCTCAAGCTGAAGATTAAATCATATGGTAGATTTAGATTTAAGATGTAAAGATGAATGCAGATTTTATATAGGAGATAAAAATGTTTAAGTGATTCATTCTTTTTTTGTAGTCTAACAAATGAAAAGAGTTTTATTATATGCTTTGCATTTCTAGATTGTATGGGCAGTCAAAGACCTATACATTTTAATAATGATGTGGTCACAGAGTTAACATGTATTGGGAGCTTACTATCTGTCAGTTATTGAAAAAAGTGTTTCACATATGTTATCTCATTGACCTTGTATGTTCTTTAGACAACTAGTTGAGGTCACACAACTAATATATGCCAAAACAAGGATTAAAACCCCAATCATCTGACTGAAGAGCCCATATACTTTTCTGAAAGAAAAAATATATATACATATATAAATGAGTTCTTGGTCAATACCTAACTTTACATATTCTTTTTAAGACATTTGTACAAACTGAAAAACAGTTTTAAATAACCTGATGTTAGAAAGTATATCTAAATTCAACAGACAAGAAATGAAAATGAGTATATTCTGTATGTGGCTAGTAATAAAACTACTTTGAGATTAAATAAATTGTATCCTAAAGACCTGTACACAGTACACATACACTGTAAAGTATTTCACAGTATTAGTTACCAGGATAAAACAATAAGGTAAACTTTGTGTCATCACTTTAATCCTTGGGGTAACTAATCATGGATATTTACACACACATATTTGTGCATATGTGTGTATCTATATATACATGAACACCTATATTTTCAATCACTGCCTTGTTCATTTACAGAAGTATTAAGCCAGTGGTAGGCTCTACCTGATTTATATGGTGAGTAGGGTCTTCACATGCAGGGATAAAAATAAATATATGTGTACACAGTTTAAAAAGAGAATATTAAATACACAAAGCATATTAAGTACACAATAATGCCAATAAAAGCTTGAGAGATTAAAATTGAGGTTTCTATACAACTTTTAAAAGAAAATTTCAAGGACATTGCTAAAGATCAAGTCCATAATATCAAGGCCATTAAAGTTTAGACTCCAGCCATGTAGTCTAATGAATAAAAACACAGGATGAAAGTAAACCTACTTCATCAAAGACATAAAATAAACTTACCCATATATTTCATAGAAGCTGTGGTAGGAGCTGTGTGTAAAAGACAGATTAAAGCGAGAGCGCCTCAGTATATGTGGATAGCTCTCATGTGGGCAGAGCTAGATCAATATGTAATTTCAAAGGCTACCTAAAAATCTTGGCAGACATCATCTTTACTTGTTTGCACAGCTGACTCAACTCTCTAAGGAGAGGGAAAAAATCATTTTTATGTTCTTATCTATACATACATACATATGTATGTGCACACATATATGCACATGTGTGCACACGCATTCATGCTTATGTGTCTGTATACCTTGTACTTCCCTGTGTTTATCTGCCTCAAAATTTTATGTGTAACAGGAAATTTTTTTGCCTTTTAGACTTTTTATTTTGTATTGGGATGTAGACCATTAAGAAACAATGTTAATTGTTTGATAGTTTCAGGTGAATGGGGAAGGAACTCAGCCATACAGGTACATGTATCTATTCTCCCCCAAACTCACCTCCCATCCAGCCTGTCACATAACACTGAGTGGAGTTTCATGTGCCTTACACTAGGTCCTTGTTGGTTATCTGTTTTAAATATAGCAGTGTGTATATGTATACATGTCCATCCCAAACTCCCTAGCTATCCCTTCCCCCCATCCTTCCCCTAGTTTCTCTGTTGGTCTCTTTCTGTTTTATAAGTATGTTCATTTGTATAATTTCTTTTTATGTTCCACATATAAGGAATGTCATATGATATTTATCCTTCTCTGTCTGACTTACTTCACCTATTATGACAATCTTTAGATCCATCCATGTTGCTGGAAATGACATTATTTCATTCTTTTTAATGGCTGAGTAATATTCCACTGCATATATTTNCTTTCCAAAGTTAGAATTCTGTAAGTTGCTACCCTAAATATTGAATGGAAAAACTATGTTCCATGCTTATGTTTAGAGAACTGGATTAGAGGAATTATCAGTGGAACATATGTCATGCTTATATGTTTGGTGACTCCTCAGAAGGGCTATTTAATTTGCAATATTTCCCAAATATTTACCCAGAGAACCAAATTTTCCCATATAGTATCTGTTATCATACCCCAGAACTGGTGTTCTAAGTTATGCCATTTAGTAAATGTTACTACAGGATATTTTGGTCCTTAAATATAAGGTTCTTCAAGGTTTCCAGATTATTACACAGGTAATATATAGGTTGTTGATGACTTCAAAGAGAACCATAAAAACTTTGCTTTTGAGAGGGCCTTTTATTATTTAAAGTTGGGTTTTTTTTTTAATGATAATATAACTTAGGAATCTCTACATGGCTTAACATGACAGTAATTTCTTCCTTTCTCATAACACCTGCTGGTGAGGCAGCGCGCCACACCAGGGAGCCATGCTGATGGGAATCTCTGCATGTTGTCAGGTGTGGCAGCAGGTGACAAGAACCTCAGTGCTCTGCGGTGCTTCCTAGAGCGCATCGTGTGGTGCTTCCTAGAGCGCATCGTGTGGCACTTCCCAGGAAGCATTGCATGGAACTTCCATCCGTAGACTGTCAGCCAGAATTTATTGCGTAACTGCTTCTAATTGTAGGGGTCTGAGAGTTGCAGGCGAGTGGACAAAACATTTGGGGCCACCTCTGTCTCTGCCACAGCTGACAACACTCCTTATCTCCTTTTTGTGAAGAAAATTGCCATGGCAGATTGATATCTTCTGAATTTCATAATAGTGTAATCTAGATATTGTACAATGGTGAATAGAGTTTCCCACAGAATGAGGATGTATTCAATGTAAAGGAAGATTGAATCATTAGTGTTTCACATTTAAGGGAAGTTTCAGAAAGTTACAGAAGGAAATTGAAGTCATGTTTAGAATTCGCTTAAATAGTAGCTATGTAGTTACAGGAAAGTGTCATGTGATACAAAAAGTTAATAAAATAGTGCAGTTACTACCATAATCAGATGATAAAAGTTAGCATGTCAGTGCAAGCCAAAGAACAGAAAAAACAACTATTTCAAATATTGAGAACATTTTGTGTACCTCATTCTGCCCTTGCGTTATTCAGTCACTCATTCATGTCTCACTCCTTGAAGCCCCATGAACTGCAACACACCAGGCTTCCCTTTCCTTCACCAACTCCTGGAGCTTGTGCAAACTCGTGTCCATTAAGTCAGTGATGCCATCCAACCATCTCATCCTCTGTCATCCCCTTCTACTGCTAGCATCAGGGTCTTTTGTAATGAGTTGGCTCTTCTCATTAGGTGGCTAAAGTACAGCGTCAGCTTCAGCATCAGTACTTCTAGTGAATATTCAGGACTGATTTCCTTTAGGACTGACTAGTTTGATCTCCTTGTTGTCCAAGGGACTCTCAAGAGTCCTCTCCAACACCACAGTTCAAAAGCATTAATTCTTGGCACCCAGCCTTCTTTATGGCCCAACTCTCACATCTGTATATGACTACTGGAAAAACCATATATTTGACTAGATGGACCTTTGTTGGCAAAGTAATGTCCCTGCTTTTTGATGTGCTGTGTAGGCGGGTCATAGCTATTCTTCCAAGGAGCAAGTGTCTTTTAATTTCATGGCTGCAGTCACCATCTGCAGTGATTTTGAAGCCCAAGAAAATAAAGTCTGTCATTGTTTTCCATTGTTTCCCCATCTATTTGCCATGAAGTGATGGGACCAGATATCATCATCTTCATTTTTTGGATGTTAAGTTTCAAGCCAGCTTTTTTCCCTCTCCTCTTTCATCTTCATCAAGAGCCTCTTTAGTTTCTCTTTGCTTTCTGCCATAAAGGTAATGTCATCTGCATATCTGAGGTTATTGATATTTCTCCTGGCAATATTGATTCCAGTTTGTGATTCATCCAGCCTGGCTCTTCACATGATGTACTCTGCATAGAAGTTAAATAAGCAGGGTGACAATATACAGCCTTGACATACTCCTTTCCCAATTTGGAATCAGCCCAGTTTTCCATTTTCAGTTCTAACTGTTGCTTCTTGACATGCATACAGATTTCTCAGGAGGCACAGAAGGTGGTATGGTATTCTCATCTCTTTAACAATTTTCCACACTTTGTTGTGATGCACACACTCAGAGGCTTTAGCATAGTCAATGAAGCAGAAATAGATATTTTTCTGGAATTGTCTTGCTTTTTCTATGATGCAACAGATGTTGTCAGTTTGACTCTGGTGCCTCTGCCTTTTCTAAATTCAGCTTGAACGTCTGGGAGTTCTTGGTTCATGCACCGTTGAAGCCTAGGTTGGAGAATTTCGAGAATTGGAGAATTTTGGGGGGATTGGAATGAAACGCCCTTTCCAGTTTTGTAGCCACTGCTGAGTTTTCCAAATTTGCTGGCATATTGAGTGCAGCACTTTCACAGCATCATCTTTTAGGATTTGAAATAGCTCAAGTGGAATTTCATCACCTCCACTAACTTTGTTTGTAGTGATGCTTCCTAAGGCCCACTTGATGTTGCATTATAGGATGTTGGCTCTATGTGCGTGAACACACCATCATGGTTATCTGGGTCATGAAGATCTTTTCTGTATAGTACTTCTGTGTATTCCTGCCACCTCTTCTTAATATCTTCTGCTTCTGTTGGGTCCATACCATTTCTTTCCTTTATTGTGCCCTTATCTGCATGACATGTTCCCTTGGTTTCTCTAATTTTCTTGAAGAGATCTGTAGTCTTTCATATTCTGTTGTTTTCCTCTATTTCTTTGCGTTGATCCCTTAGGAAGGCTTTCTTATCTCTCCTTGCTATTCTTTGGAACTCTGCATTCAGATGTATGTATATTTCCTCTTCTTTCTATTCTTCACTTGGCACTTTATATTCCTGTACAGATTAAGGGTATTACAATGATTTTTCTTTTAAGACCAGGAAATAAATTATGTGAAGCAAGCAAAATAGCAACATCCAACAGTATTTTTGAAAAATTCGCTTTGTATTCGTAATCATTATTTTTTTTAATATCCTTTAAAAATTGTTTTTTAATTTTTACAATGTTGTTGCTGCCGTAAAAGAACATGAATCAGTCATATTTATACTTACCTTGCCTCCCTCTATCCCACTCCTGCCGATCATCACAGACACCAGTCCAGGTTCCATGTGCTACACAGCAACTTCCACCAGCCATCTGTCTGACACCTGATAGTATATATTTCTTGATGGTACTTTCGTATTCATCCCATTCTCACCTCCCCCACTTTGTCCTTACGTCCATTCTCTACATCTCTGTCTCCATTCCCTCCCTGCAAATAGATTCATCAATGCCATTTTTCTAGATTCTTCTTGTTTTTCTACATGTCTTGCTGAATGTGCTAAGAAAGAAATCTCCTAGCTGCTTGTTATGTGGGCCTTTTCTTGGGCTCTTGTTTGTAGTGGTGAACCTGGAGGAATGATGTAATCCTGCCCCCTAAACCATGAGAGGTGTTGCTTACTGCTTGCTGTGAAAGTGATGGATCCTTGAAACTCAGTCTTCCTGAGCTACAGTATAATCTCACTATGTGCCCAAGAGCCATTTGAGCTTGTTGCATCTCCCGTGTGAGACTTGAGGTCCAGGGGAACTGACTTGTGCTTTTTACTGAACTACAGCAGAATCTTTTGTCTCTGATCCAGGAGTATCATGCGTCTTTTGCCAGCATCCATGTACAGTTTAGATTAACTTACTATCTTGTAACTAGGGTAAATTCAAATCCAGGGTAAAACAGTTACAACATGGTAATAATGAACTTTCAGTGCTTTCCATATTAATTTGAATAATCTTTCCAGGGCTACTAATTGTGACAAAGGAGAAGTATGAGTTATAAGACAATCAACTCACAGATACTATAACCTATCAAAGTTACAAGGTCTTAATGAACATTTGAGTGCTTACTCTTATATTCACGGTGGAAAGAACTAAAGTTCGTTAACTTGTTTAATGCATTAACTTATTTAATCCTCAAAACCACTCTGTGATGGAGACATGAGTACCTTCATTTTACAGGTGAGGAGACTAGGAAATGGAGGGGTTAATTAATGTTTATAAGGTCACGCAGTAAGTGGTAGGCCTGGAATTCAAACCCCGGGCACCAGAAGCAAATTTCTATCTATGATATTTAAAGAAAG